GGTCAATGTGTCAGTCAAACAGTTCTCACAGTGAGACCCTCTGAGGGTAACAAGTTTGACATATAGTCACATTTCTTCCAGCTGTATAGTCAATTCTAATATAGTTAAGTAGCTATGATTTTTCTTCCTGTAATAATAACTGGACCAAAGAGTGAATGCCATATTTGGCATGCTGAGATTTAGAGTCTGAAATGAACACTGTCCTTGAGTAGTAGACACTGGATTCCACACATTGAAATGCAAGACCAGTACACCACCTTGTCTCTTTTAAATAAAATCAATACATGCAATATCAACAGTTTCCATGTATGCAGTTCTATAGTTGCTGTCATTATGGAATGGTGCGACAAAAATGAAAGACCTAACAAATGCCATATCTTGTTATAGTGTCATACTGTTTAACTAGTTCAAACTTGGTCCGAACTCCTAAAGTCTTTCAAACAGTGATGCTCATCAGCATTTTAATATGAATGAGCAAATTAATCTATTCTGGTTTACATATTTAACCCAAAGAAAGAGCTGTTCTCAGGGTTGGATTAACCCCTTAGTGGGCCCTAGGAAAAAAAAATCATAGGCCCCTACTTTTTTTCACTCAATAATTATAATATATAAAATAAGCACAACTGGCCCCCTTCTTCACTTAGGGCCCTGTGCATGTGCCTAGTTTGCCAATACGTTAATCCGGCTCTGGCTGTCCTTCCAAACCATTTTCTATGTAAAAACACAGGAATATTTCCACCATATTAGGTAATTTTGTCTCAAACACACTTGTAATTCCAAGTGGTTTGGCAACATTTCAGCAGAATGTAACTATGAGAGTCAGTGTTAGTGCTGTATAGGGTTTATTGTTTCCTGTGTGCTCTAAAGCAATCAAACAATTCCACAAATGTTCTTCAAAGAATACATCTAGAATGTTACTTCATTAAACGTCTCCTTGGCACTTATTCTATTTTCCACTTTGAATTGCTGCATTTAGTTTTGAAATGACCTTTTATAGCAGTGAAATTTTATTAACTCTTTGATCTAATGGCACAGAGATGAAAATATCAGAGCAAAAGGAAAAAAAAATCCCAAAGATGTGTGCTTTCTAGACTGCCTTATATGGTAGGAACAGCATGAAAAGGAAGTAAGTTTTATCATTAAATAGATTATACATTGTTTGATATTGCTGGTATTCCTTTTATCCTTTCGGTAAGTTGGCATTCAGTGTAGTTCACCAATGATGCTTGTTATATGGCTTTATGATAAATAAATTAGGACAAATTCTGCCCTTAGATACTTTTATAACTCCTGCTGATGGTGGGTATTGGGGATATGTATCTGAAGACTAAGCTTTTGTCACAGACTTTTATGTTCTTTGATAGCTGTCTATGTGCTGCTATAAATGGAGGACTAGATTTTGCAGTCATTCATAATCACAGGAATATACCTGACATAAACAGCCCCATAAGGCTAGACTGGCACCTTTGAAATCTGCCAGGAGTAAGGGGCAGAATCCTCTCATTTGCATATCAGTCCTGGCTTCCTCTTTTTTCCAGAGGGAAAGGAAGTTTCACAAACCCTCTTCCCAGCACAAATCACTTCCCTTTCTCCACTGACTTAACTTTGGCCAAATCAATCACAGAGAATGGTACTACAGAGTTATGTCAATATGGAAGGTGGCTTGATGGTCTATAGATGGATTCTTTTGTTCCCTCCCCCTGTTGTGACCTGCAGTGTTCCTGTTGCCCTCTTATTCCCTTATCTCCCCTATATTGGCTGATTTCTAAATTAAGCCAATTGTCTTTAAATGGACTGTTCCTGTATGGGTTATTTTTTAGTTGAAGTGTTACAGAGCTGGCTCCATAGAGATGCATCTTCTTGATATCCATTTGAAAATTTCTGCAATTTCCCCTCTCCTTTAAATGAGAATAAATATTTCAAAAGTAGCAAAACCTTCTGGATGTGAAGAGCTCAAGCAAAATCCCCATCCATGGGGCAAGATATTCTAAACTAGAGTGAGTATAAGAGACAGTTGTCTTGTTTAACATGGTGAATGTTCCTGGGTAGGACTAAATGTGTGGAGCATGTTCATTTAGTCCTGTCCTAGTTTGGAAGATTATGGGCCCTCAACTCCCCATTTATTTTCAGGACAGTCAAGATGGAACCAGCCATCTTCCATTGCATGTTCTTCACATAATACTGGTTTGCAGTTTTTTTTCCCAATACATCAGAATTTAAATCCTACTTTATATCATCAAAGTAGAACCATAGGAGTTTCATAGCCATGATGCCATCTATATCATGTAAATTAATATTGCCAGCAAAGAATATGATGGTGTTATGCTAAAGCATATGTGTTTAAAAACTACTTTTTTATTCATTATATCAGTGGTTCTCAACTTTTGGTCCTGTTGGTTGGATGAGTGACATGGGGCTGGTCCGGGAGCTAAATCCCATGGGCAGGGTCAGTCTGTTGATCTGCTCCATCGTGGGATCAGTGTGCAATGTTGATTCATTTATGTGGTCTGGCATGCCAGCCCAGCCCTCTGCCTGGAGCCAGACATGGCTTGGTCCTACATGCTTGCCTGGCCCTGTTGACCAGACCTGGCCATGGCCTACCTCTGTGTACTAGTATAATTTGGCTGTGTCATGGGTCAGCAAATTTGGTGGCAGGGGAGAAGAGGCAGCAGTAATTGCTGTAGCCCTGGAAGCCAAATTTCTGAACCAATGGGCCATTTCCATGCTATGTCCACCCCTTTCCTCACCAAAGTAGCTTCCTGTAAAGGACCAGAGATGAGCTAAAAGTTTGGTGACTTGTGGACGTCAATGAATGAAGAGCCTAAGGAAAAAGATGGGTCTTAATAATATTAACTGTTAATTCCATTAGAACATTTGGACTTGCACATAAATTAATGACACCACTGGTTAAACTAGTGTTTAAGATGTTCTAAGTCACTGGCAGACAACGATAAGAAAAAATATCTAAGGTTCTGTTACATGCACAAACTAATCTGAAGGCTCGGTCTTGCCATGCTTACAAAACAGTTGACTTCCCCTTGACTTTGATAGAAATTTTGTCTACACAAGGCCTGTGGAAATTCTATACAAACCAATGGAATTTCTATAAACAATGAAGTTAGAAGTATCAGCAAAAATTAACTTAAAATCCTGTTGACATTACTTAACATTTAAATTTATTTTGAAATACATTTGGAAAACACAAATATAAAACAAGGTCTATAATATGATTTCTGTTTCTGACTATGAAACAAAAATCACAGGCATAGAAACAAGTAATGATAATTTGACAGGAGAAAGAGAGCAGATAGCAAAGTTTTTCTGAAGAATTTTTGAAAGAATGGAAAATATGACAGTAATAATATCTGGTAAATATGTTATTCTAGAATTAATAAAGATATCATTTTAAGCTATTGCAGATCATAAAGGTCATGCTTTGCATACAAGCATGTGAAAATTCATGCACTTTTCTAGTTGATTCCCATTAAAAATTATGAACACCAATACTGTAAATCATTCCTCCTTTGAAATTTAATATAAATATTTCTAATGAGCTACCTTCAATTTTGCTTTATCTGTTTGTTCCTTACACCTAAGTAATGCCTTTAAAAAACTGAGGCTGATTAAAAGAGTTACATTTTCCAAGCCTCATGCAATAAGGCTAGGGACAGAAATTACACATAAACCAGTATAAGTGATCAGAAACCAGTTCAGATCTGTAATACAACAGTAGTTCAGTGCACATAAACTGCTTTCAAAATGGCCCAAACCAGTTTAAGATAAACCTGGATGGATGTAGTATCAGACTTTACTGATTTAGCTTAAATCAGTTTATTGAACTTTTGTCCCAGATCCCCTCCAGGTTTGGGTTAACTCACAGTCTCTCAGCATCCCATGATGCTCTGCACCTCCCCTGCAACCCTCCCTCCCCACATAGGATGTGAGGGCTAACCATGGCCCAGGCTGTCTGCTCCAGGCAAGCAGGGAGGTGTGCTCCAGCACCCCCTGGTCTGGGCCACTGTAGGCATGTGGCTGCATTTCTGGAATCAAAATGAACATCTGTTCACTTTCTTATAAATTTAATCTACACAGACAAACCTGTGAAAATTGAATCGATTCAGCCTTGGGCTTTTTTACTGTCTGCATTTAGCCTAAGTGAATGATACAAAATGTATTGGATGTTGCACTTGCAAAACCTCTGATTTGTATGTGGTGGCACAGAAAGTTAGGGGGGGTTAGCTCTTTGGCTTATTGTGCAAATACAACACATTAAGGACCCAGTTCTCTTTCCACCTACCATGGCTTACTCCCTTTGACTTCAGTGGACCCATTCATCTTTGAAAGCCCCAAACCTGCAATCCCAGCTGACTGGATAGACATTTTTGCTGGCCTGGAGCTGTGCATAAATTAATGGTCTGTCCACAAAGATTTGGCTTTAATGCTGGGGGGTTTTATTTTGGAAGGATCAGAATCAAACCTTATGTACACTAGAGGCAGTACACTGAATAGATGAGCCTTTCACAGTTTTGCTTTGAGACGAAAATTAAAACAACAATGCATATAAATTAAGAAAACTATTATTACTATTGAATTCATCTTGTACTAGGGCCTAGGCACTACAGTCATGGATGAGCATCCCATTGTGCCAGGCACTGTACAAACACCCTCCATGCCCTAGAAGAGCTTAGGGTCACGTCAGTGCTTCCTCCTTTCTGAGTCTAGGGACCAATGCTGAGAAGCAAGCCCTGCTTCCCATTCCTCATGTGCAAAAGCTAAGTAATTAGGACCTTACCCCAGCTTTTGGACTCTTAATCTCAGGTATAATTCTTGGCACATGTTCTAAGCTTGCTGCTCCACTTGCCTTCTAGGCCTTGACATTATCTGAGACAACAGTAACAGCTTGCTTCTCAGCAAGGAGGCAATGAAAACATGACCAGATATCATGTTGTAATTTCAGTTAGAGTTATAATTACTGCCTTCAAAATAATCCATAATGAAGATAAGACCAAACATTTCTATTTATTTTCCATATACTCCATTCAGAAAACATACAAAACTGGAGGTGTTTCTCAATAGTCCATGTTAACCATATTTCACTACAGCGTTTAAGAAACTTCATCTGTAAAAGAAAATAAGGAGAGTTAGAATTTTACTCTTTATTACAAGACAAACACCATGAAGTAAACTATTCTTTCCCACACAGGTCAAAGAAATGATCCATGGCTAACATGTTATCTCTCTTCTTCCTTTCTACTTCATATATTTAGGGAAACAATTTTTTTAAAGAAAGGTGTGGAAAACATTTACTGATGCTGCTGATAACTGTATCAACATTTATATAGGTACTTACAAAACAAACACAAAAAAGGATGGAAAATGAACTGCACTTTCTTTCTTGTCATTTGAAAAAGAGAAGAGACCATAGTTCAGAATGTTAAACTTTTTGACTGGCTATAACATTGTCTTTGAAAATCTCCAGTTACATTTTTTATTCAGAAATTAATTTAATACAAATATATCACTGCAATAGGAAATGTCTCAGTGATGTAATACAATATCTTTTATAGAATTAATAATGCTTTCCACAGTAGTGGGATATAACTTCAGCTTTGTACAATTATCAGCACAGATAAAATAACACCTATACGGCAGAAAACAGCTTTGGTGGCTGATAGCCAAGAGCTGCTCTGTGGTCCTTTGTGGATAGGTTGCTCCCTAGTCAGAGACTACTTATTAGTGGAAGATGTGTAATGTTGTTTGATGTTATCCACTCAAGACGATTGCCTTTCCCCAGGGGAATGGTCATAGGCTCGATCAAGTCTGATTGAAACTGGGCCTCTGCAAGCATTATTGGGAAACAGACTGAACATGTTCAGTGCATCTTTTGCTTTTCTAACATAGGAGCAAGTTATTCTTGACTTACTGACATTTGAATCCATGCCTGTTGGTCACCATGAGAAGAGAGAGAGCCAAAGCAAGTTGAAGACTCTTCTCTTCCAGACAAAAAAGCAAATGAAGAGGGGATACTGGTGGGACTCTCTTTACATTTCTCACAAACTCCCTCTGGTGACAAGGTAAGGAGCCTCCCTATCTACTTCATTCTGGCTCTCATTTCAAGGGCTAGGGACAGACATTACACATAAACTGGTTTAAGTGATTGGAAACTGGTTTAAACCTGTAGCAGAACAGAAGTTCAGTGCACATAAACTGCTTTCAACCTAGTTTAAGATAAACCTGTTTGGATGTGGTATCAGACTTAAATGATTTGGGTCAAGCTGGTTTATAGAACTTCAGTACCAGATCCCTTCCTGGTTCTAGTCAACTCATAGTCCCCCAACACCCCAGGATGCTTTGCAGCCCTGGGCTATGCTGTCTGATCTAGTGGAGTGGGGACTGCTCCTTAGCCTGCTTCTTGCCTATGTCTGGCAGCCCATAGAGACTGGGGGGGCAGGGGAACAGGCCCCCTCAGCCCCCCACAACAGGATCTACACAGCATGTGGGGGGAAGGAAAGACCCTGTGGTGGGGGCTTGTCAACCCTCAGCAGCCCTTTCCCCTTCCCCCTCCTAGCTGCTGATTGCTTCAGCAGCTTCCACAAGAGGGGGGAGAAAGGGTCCTCCAGGCTAGGTGCCTTCCCATGCAGCCCAGACTGGGGGCACTGAGGAGCCCCTGCCCCCACCATGGGCAGCCCCAAGGAGCTGAGGGGAATTCTCCCCCTCCCAAACCCCAAATCTGCTCGCCTTAGCTCCTGCAAGTCTCAGGCAGCCTCAGGGAGTGGAGGGAAATCTGCTTCCTGGTTTTGCCTAAGACTCGCAGCAGCTTTGGGATTGGGGAGGGGGAGAATTCCCCTCAGCTCTCTGGGGCTACCCCGGGCTGGGGGACCTTGGGCTGTGGTGGGGGGAAACCCTCCAAGGCAGGGGCTCCCCAGTGCTCCATGCTGGGCTGCTTGGGCAGGCACTAAGCTGGGATGACTTATTTTCCCTCCCTCCTGTGGAGGTGGCTGAAGCAATGAGCAGTTGGGAAGGGGGAGGGGGGAAATTCCCCTCAGCTCCCCAGGGCTGCCTGGGCTGGGGAACCCAGGCTGGGGGAAACCTCCTGAGGAGGAGGATCCCCCAAGGTGGGCTGGCACCCAGACAGGGGGCTTCTTAACCCCCTGTGAGGGGACAGCAGGGGTTTGGGAGCATGTACTGGGGAGCCAATTGGGCACTGGTGATGCATAGGGGGTGCATGTGGGTGCATGTGCACCACCTGAGATCGGCTATGCACCCCCTGGAAGCACCAGCTGCAAAACCAGAAGTGCACTTCCAGTTTTGCTGCTGGCTCGGTGATCGGCCACTGGCGGACCACCCCCCCAATTGATGATTAGCTGCGGGGAGACTCCCTTACCCCGTCAGCAATCTGGTGCCCCCCCAGACTAGGGAGGCACCAGTCACCCATGCAATTGGGGACATTTGGCTGGGCTGGCAATGGCCAGCAGGCTGAAAGACTTGCTGTAGCACTCCTCCCTCCCCACCCAACCTACTGGCCTGGGTCAGTGCAGCCCCACCCTTCCCCTGTTTTTCCCAATTGAAAACTGAATATCTGTTCAGTTGGTTATCAGTTCAACCTATGCAGCTTAGAGGAAACTGCCCAGGTTAAATCAATTCTCCCTCGGGCTTTTTGTCTGTCTGTACTTAGCCAAGATCTGGAATTGGAGAGCAATGCTTCCTAAAGTAAAAGGTGTAGTATCTTGTAGTTTGTCACATGGAAACCACTCTTTATTATGTGCAGAAACTTATATTCAGAACTATTTACAGTATAAAGTGGTAATGGTTTTTATTACTGTCCTTGCAAAGCTCTTGTGGTTGGCCTGTTCTGTTCTGCTGCCTGGAAGTTCCTACTGGTCTCACCCAGACTGTCTCCCAGGATGCAACACTTCCTTAACACTCAATGTGTCCAGAAGGACATACTCTGTGTTACAGGAAGAGTGTTCTTAGCATAAAACTGTTAGCTTCCTTGCCTGATAAAAATGAGCATTGAGTTTATTCCATCCCGTCTTCCAGACTGTATACCATATCATGGGTAGATAAACCAGCTGAGAAGGGTACAGAAGTTCACAAGATTGCTCCCTCCATACTTCCAACTACTACACAGGAGGGGAGGTTTGGGGGTTTAGATTCAGTGGTTAGATTTAGATTGGACAGTGATTTTTTTCTCTTCTACAGTTTCACCTGCTGAAAAGCTAATCCTTCATAGACTTCTTCAGCAGTCAAAGTCTGGAAGGCTCTGGTTACCATAAATGGAATAAAATGCACTCAAGCCTTTGAATGCTATCATTATTACAGAAAGAAAACAGAAGTGTAACTAAGATATATATTTTACATTTTCTTGAATCTTATTGTGTATTATAGAAACCTATCTTTTAATTGGCATGTTAAAGTTGATGTTAAAGTCGGGTTTTATTAGCTTGGGGTTGGAAAGAAAACTCTGTTCCTTTGTTGGTATTTCATTTACTCCATATACAGCAGCATATATTAGATAATAAGGGCCAAAGAAGTGAATTATAAGGCTTCACCCACACCTTTTTTTCCCTTGGTTTTGGTTTTGATGGGGTTCAAAAACCCTGAATTTAACTTTGAAATTTTCACAATTTCCATTAAAACCTCAAAACAGGAGTTAACTCGAACTAGGATGTTTAGATTACTCTAAAGTTAACCAATATTTAAGTTACAGTCTTTTCATGGTTTCCATCTGAAAACATAAAATGGATCAGATTTGACTGAAATAGGCCCAGGCTCGCAAACATCAATTACTCTCAGTCAGGTTTTACTGTTGTACAATGAAATGCACATCAGGTAAGTTTTTTGATTGGTTTTGAGTTTAGTTCCTCAAATTTGGCAGAGAATTGCAAACAATTATCTTTTATTTTTCTCTCCCATTTCTATTTAACACATATATGCCATATCGTAACATTTTTTTTCCTTACTTCTTGGATATACGCTCACTTGTTAACAGATTTTAACACAGGCTAGGGGAAGTAAGTGTTTACTTTCAAAAAGTTGTTAAAAAACCATTACAGATCTTGTATTTAAAATTATACATCACATAAAAAGCAATTATGCTCATGAGAAATGATAAGACTAAGAAGCAGACTTTTGAGCGCAGATGCCTGTCACCTGATTTTAAGCATCAGATGAGGTATATGGAAATGTAAGTAGCTTTTGGGGATCTGTTTTTCGAACCAAAGATAAAGAATTTTTAAATTTTTATTCTCCATTTGGAGACGCAGTAATTTCTATCAGAATGTTTTTCATAATGTTGATAGTGTAGCACTGACATCATTATCCAACAGTCTAGCTAATCTCCTGCATATAGGGTTTATTATATTACTTAAGTATCCAAGAATCTGAGATGACAGATCTTAGTATGAATTCTGTATTGTCATTATACTGTAGCTCTTTCAAACACCATATGGTGATAAAATTTATAGTTTAGTCACATTTCTGGACTTTGTATTTGAAGGTAAAATAGACTGCATGTTCTGCAGAGAAACAGCACATAATCTGAGTTAATTAAGTAGTTTCAGAATTTTCTGTGTGACTTCTCATCAAATGAATTGGATTGCTATACAGAAGTCCCCAAACTTTTTCATAGTGTAAATTAGAAAGACTGTCAAGGATGCATCCTTTTTCACTCAATATTGAAGTAAGTAAATATTCATTAGGTGCAAGCGCCCAAGACTCTGTGACCCAGTGTTTAGGTCACTTGATGAGGAGCAGGAAGAGCAGTCACTACTGCTTATTATAAAGTAGTTAAAAAAAATCAGTCTTGCAGATCTACATTGTTAGGTGTTTAACTTTCTCCTCATTTGTACAAAGGAGGCCAGGGACCAAACTAAAGGCCATGTGCTCCTGTATGTGGCTATGCAACTACAAGTCTGGGACAGTAATTCCTTTTGTAGAAATGGTTTTTTGATGGCCTCAGTCTAGCCAGTCTAGTTCAGCATGCCAGGAGAGCACAGATATCCTCATAAGCACCGGTGTGATTCCTGAGTAGATTGACCCCTGCCTAGTAAGGGTTGGGAGAAGGGGAAACAAGCAGGACCCAGAACCTGGGTCCCAGGACCTCTGACCAAGATTTGAACTGGTGACAATGTAGTCTCTGTGATTAATTTCTGCTCAAGAGCTTGGCTGCCATGGTTTGGACAAGAGCTAGAGATTTCAGTTGGTCACATGATGAATAGCCCTAATTTGAGAAGCTACACTAGCTGTAATGTATTACATAATCATTTTTAATTTATTGGAAAAAGAAAAGAGCATGGATTGTTTCCACTAACCTTAACCACTTTATTGGTATTAAATCATATTAAGTTGCTGTTATTTTCTTGTATTTGGCATTTTCTTCTGGCTGTTTATTCTGATTCACCTTGGCCTCCTGCCAAATGTGCATCAAGTGTCGAGAGCAGGTACTAAACTCCATTTTTCCTATAAAAATGAAGAGAGATAATTATATTTAAGAATAGTGGATAAATAGTAACCACAATTTACTTCCTTTTGGGTAAGTATAGAGTGAAACAGTAGCTTTAAATAGACACACCATTTGAGATACTGGAATTAGTTATATATATACAGAGCACTTCACTTATGTACAGTTATGGGATCAGTTCCTAAATATGTATTGCTTAGAATAAAGCATTTACTCTGTTTCCCATTGTATTTCCATTGAAGTCAAACAAGGGTACTCAACACCTTAAATTAATGAGAACCAAATTTTTATAACCCCAGTTTAAAGTTTTGCATGTTCTTCACAGTGATGCTAAGAAAATTTTCATGTTTTACAGCCATGGGGCCTTATCTCACATAGATGTCAGTCAGAAGCAACTCTACTTGCGCGATGCAGTGACAAGGCATGGTGCATATTTTTACACACATATATCATTATTTCCTTCAGTGACGTTCCCTTCATACCAGGGATAAAATTAGCCCTTTACATTGTACTACAAAACCTAACAACTGTTTTAAAAATAGACTGATGAATGGACTGTATCGCTGGAGTAGGGACCTACCAAATACACAATTTCAGGGATTTCACAGAAATCATGTAATTGGCAGTCTCCCATAAAATAGCTGGTTCACCATTAAAAAGCTTGGGGAACTGACTATGTTAAAAAAATTGGCCAAGAGCTGGCAACAAATTTCCTCCTAGTAGGGGGATGGGGGCTGTGGGGGGGAGGTGGGAAGGGAGCAAAGAGAAAAAAAAAAGGCAGCTCCTGAAGCAGGGGTGGGGTGGGGAGAGAGGCAGGAAAAGTTCCCATCTCTGTCTCCAGAAGTGGAGGAGGGAGCAGGGAAAAGCCTGCCAAAAGTTTGTTTACTCAGTAATTATTGCCCTTTGCCCCTTGAAAAGGGCTATAATTACTGAATTAACAAGCCAGGCAGGTCCAGCTAGGGCTTTCAATCAATTCCTGGGAGGGGTGGGACTTGTGGCACCCCTCATCCAATCAGAGGCACTTTGCTCTGATTTCAAAATGGCAGCCCCAGCTGTGATATGGGCATGAAATTGGGTGCCCCGGCCATGTTGCAGCCGTGTAATTGGCTGCTGGGGCCTATGAATTTGGGAAGTCCCTACTCATGGGTTTTTCTAACTCTTAATGCATCTGGACTTGCTGCTCTATGAAGTGCAACATTTACACCTCTGCTCTAAATGCATAATTTCAAATTATGCAAGCAGCTATTTTTTTTATTTATTGATTTATATAGTGCTAATGTATAATTAAACAGAATAACAACACCTATAGTCAAATGGGTTCAGATCAAACTAATTTTTTGTGCACATACAATGAATAGATTACACAGTTAAGCAACAGGTACTTTAGTGATGAGTTTATTCAAAATATGCAGCAGGGTTATGTAAATGTACAGCTTTTAAAATCAGAACAACTTTAATGGTCTGAAATGGATTTAGTTGACCAATTTTAGGCAGAAAAGTCTGAACATTTTGGCCTATGGCCTTCTAAGAACTATAGATAATGTATAGAAATTAATTAAAGTATGCTATATTCTGATGATCTGAATCATCTCCCTCTACTCCTGCACCAATTCTCCTTTACATACCATGAAGTCATATCACAAATATAAAAGATCATCTAGAAATGATTCCCTATAACCAAATATCTCTTATTCATTTCATTTACAAAAACACATATAAAAATGGAAAAAGGAAAAATTTGCCTTGACATTTCATAAGATATTATGAAATCCTAAGTTTAGGAAACTTAACGAAATCCTAAGTTTCTAAAATCACATAAATTCCATTAACATAATGGGCATTACGGAAGAAAAGGTGCGTAAATTAAAAAAAAGTTACTGCTGTGCAAGTATAATTGTACAGAACTGGACTCATCATCCAAGCATCACAAGAATGGAACAGATAGCATTTTATCAATAGCAATAATGGATTTAAGTGCAGTTTTATTGATTCTTTGTGACACTTCTTGAGAGACTAAAAACAATTGGCTTTTGACTTCACCTCTCATGTGAGTTTATTATCAAACCCTTTGTAAGGTGTTATTTACACTACACAGTAAAACTGAATTTGGCTACATGCCCCTTGGGATTCTGATGACATCATAAGGCATCTGAGCTTTGCCTCCATGGTTGCTATTTTGTACTGAGGAATCATGAAGTGACTAGTAGGATCTCCGGAAGAAAATACTAATTCTTAAAATGCAGAAAGAATACAATGAGGTGTGCAGGCCCTAATCTTGTGAGATGTTAATAATTTCTATTTAGTTCAGTGAGACTTGAGGGTGCTCAATGCCTTGCAGAATTGGACCTTAAAAATGACAAACAAACAAAAACAAGTAGCCTAGATAACACAAGGGACACAACACTTCTTTAGCTGCTTCTTCTAATGTAAGTAATTAAACTAAGGGCAAGTAGAAACAAATATTTCACTTTTTACTCTCCCAAGGTCTGTTTAGTCAACAGGGATACCACAGTTCACTGGATTCCAGTTTTGCCCATGAGCAATTGCTGCACTAATTACCTCTTTCATTTCCAGATTAACATTGTGCAAAACACATAAAAGAGTGTTAATTCCTTTATATCATGTAGCTATTGGCACAGCTGAACTTACCTTGGCAGAGTGAGTCAGAATCCTCCGTAGTGAGAACAGCCACTTTAATCAACTGTCTGCCCTTTTTAAGACCCTGGAGACCTTTGCCAAAGTTTGTCCACACTCTATCTTTTACATTTGAACTAAAATGCAATGGCCTCTATCCATACACCCACCTTAACATTTATTCTAAATGTTTTGGATGCTTGACTCAAATCAAATCTATAAATCTTTTACATTTTACCTTTTGCTAGGTGTCTAGTTTACTGCCCAGAACTAATTATAGGAACTCAGTTCATGCCACTTGTGTTCTGACTTATGTTTCTAGTCAATGGTGTCAGCAACAGTAGCCACCTTCACCAAAATCATTCTCAACCTTCATTTTTGTTATGGGATCAACCTAGTCAAGTAGATTCAGACATACCTTCCCACAACCACAGTGTTAATTGAAGATCGCTACTTCATGTATTTGTAAAACATTCAGATCTACAACATAATTGCAATTAATATGTCAAGTTTTATAATGCTTCAATATTTTGTTGTCACATAACTGCTAAGGATGGACACATAAACCATCATTAATATGATAGCTGTATTCTTCAATAACCTTGCTTTGTTCACTTGCCTTTAACTACATAAAACATCAGCTGAAATTTTAAAAATAATTTATCTAATGAGAGGTTACAAATGTAAACGAACTCTATTGCTTTGCCATAGTCAATTGTTTATTATAGTGTGACCTGGCAAAGGAAAATCACTTTGCAAACTCTGAATTTTCTGCCACAAAAAAGGAGTTTGTATAAGAGCTCCATAAATTGCTTTAATTTAATTCATATGAGAGGGAAATTCCCCTGTCTGGAAAATACCATGTTTTGAACAGACTTATGAGTAATATGCAAACAAGGTGAATGGAAAAAAGATATGGTGGCTCTGGAATAATAGAAGGAAATTCAGTTTGCTTCTATGACAAAGTTCTGCTTTACTCTGTTGATATCTTTTACCCAGTTAATTATTGAGAACTATATTCTCAAACAAAAAGCTATACAATATACTGGAAGCCCATAACCTACTTTTTTTTGTTTCCATCAATTCCACTGTTCCTCCTTTTCTTTTATATAATACAAACAAATTTACAAACAGTTCATTCATAAAATATTGATGGTTTTCCCATTCTTATGTTTGGATTTAAATCATCAATGCCCGTTCACTCTTCTGTTTATATGTGTATATTGTTGAAATTAAATTGCAAACATATGACATAAAATGATTTATGTATTCTTTATACATGTTTAGTTGTTGTTTAATAAAAGTTGAGTTATTTCAACAGAAATATTTTCTTTCTGTTTAATAATAAAATAAATACAATTACAGTAGAACTCATGTCTTATTGCTGGGCATGGCATTGCTTCATCTATTGTAGAATCTCACATATTCTAGGGATTTGTTCTTCTTTTATTTTACTTCTCTTTCCAGATGAGAGCAGGGAAGGTCTCTTTTTTCTTAAGGACTGTACTTCCAGTGTATTTACTGCCTTTCACTGGACTACTATGTGGTGCTAAATTATTTTCCCCTCCATTCATCAGCAAAGGACGACATTAAATTGTTTTCTGTTTAAAAGTGAGAGACAAAATTTCTACTGCAAATGGTGAGAAGTCATAGATCAATTTACATAGCAAATGGTTTCTGAACAAAAAGTAAGCCTCCCTGCTACCACTTTTTGCTGGTTAATACAGCTCAGGTAAAGTATCTAAAGTATTCAAGAACTTGCTTACACAGGCATTTTTTTAAAACCCTACTGTTTCAGCATCAGAAGCGGAGCTTTGCTGATCACAGTGGATGGCTAATGTAGAAAGGGTTACCAGTGCTTTTATTACCATATCATTTCATCTGGTTCAGAGCAAGTCTGGATGACATGACCAGTCAATAATAAAAATGCTTTAAGCACCAGGAAACAAATCTCCAGTGGGACTTTTATGATGCAACTACTAGAAAAGGTGTCTTGGTGACACTATACTGGTAATATTACACAGTTATTCTAAGAAATATTTTCAGTGTGCAGATTAGCAGGCATAACTACTAAGATAATTGCCAGACATTTATGTATATGACTACCATAACACAATGAAGAAACCAAAAAATGTTGTCAGATGTATACCTGTAAATGTTCATGTACATTTCTTTGTAACTTAGGCGACGTCTCCCCTGTCTCCTCACTGAGTGTATACTGAGAAACGAATACCACCTATTCACTCTCACCATGTACTTGCCAAGCCCAACGATTAGATAGTGTAGATGACTTAGAGGGCTCCTGACAGGTCATAAAGCTCAGGATTCTCGCTTTCTAGGCATGTGTTTTACCTAAGAGGCTTTTATTTAAAAAGGGGTGGCTACACCCCACTTTCCTCCTTTTCCTTCAATCACATTTTAAAAGAAAAGAAAAATCCAGACATCCATACCTGAAAAAAGATGTGGGTACCTACATGTAGCAGCAGTTTGGGGGTGTATATCCCAATGAATATCTAACTTAGACTTGCAGGAAGATGCCAAAAACTGGGAAAGAGGTGGAAGTTCAGATTTACTCCTCTTTTCAGCATTTTCTACAGGGCACCTTAGAGATGCCCTCTCTCAGTATACTGGCTGCTATGAATCAGGTCATTACCTTCCTCATGTATTATACAGAGAAGTCCTACTTCGGGATTGTAAAGTCACCTGAGGAGTAAGACACTTAATGTCCTTCTGTTGGTCCATCTGGCCCTTGTGAATGATCTGACACATTCACCCTAGAATGAGCTTGTTCTACAGAGCAGGGGAATCAAGACTCCATCACAGGAAGATAATGCTAGTTGTTTTAGGACCTGAGTGAAGGATGACAGTTTCTTTCTAAGAAACGAGTCCTGGTGACTTGACTGCCTTATAACTAGTCAGTCTAGTTGCTGTTGCTACTTGAGATGGTTTTAGTGTATTACACTGACTATTGTTGACAGATTGGAAGGCATTGAATTTCCTTTGCTCTGTAGACAAAAGACTGAGGACAACCTGGAAATATTGGGGCT